AGTTAGGTACAGGAGCTACGTTTGCTACGCTCACGTAAATGAGCTAGCTAGTCGTTGTGCAGTTACGTTGGTCTCGTGTTGAATGACTAATTGGCCATAAGCCACGAGTCACAGTTTCATCGCTTGTTATTAGTGTTTGAAAACTGTGACATTCAGTGTTCATTAGGCCATAGGCACGGGTCATATGAATGTCTTCTTACATTCATTTGTCCAGAATCATCAAGTAAGCACGAAATATTTAAAAGTACTAGGGCACCATAAGTCACAGGAGCTACGTCTGCCAGTCGCACGTACATGAGCTAGTCTAGTGAGAATGACTAATTGGAGTCGAGTCACAATTCAGTCATTTGGTTCTGGAATTTTAGGTACTTTGACATCACACACTTTTCTCGCAGGCGCAAGTGTTCCGTCACTTCAATCATCTGTGATTATGTTACACTTTTCGACATCCGCAGCAGGTCTGTGCCGCGCAGTGTGATACTGGCAAGAGGGCATTCATCAACATTTTATTCTGGGCATCTAGGTATATGAACATCTTTCACTTCAAAGGGCATCTGCGAAATCACAAAAAAGTGACACCTGCTGTGAAAAACAAATTCGCAGAAAAAAGATTCACAGATGTTCATTATTATCTAGAGATGCCTATCGTGTTATTAAAAAAAATAATACACATGGTTTAAGTCGCTTAACATCATCAAATCAGAAAATTAATTTAAACACTGTTTAAACGAGCGCCTAACTTTTTTGAAACTACACCACTAGAATCGACAAATCGAACTTTCAATAAATGCGCACTAGCCAGTTACATCCCAGAAGAAGAAAAGAAAGAAAAAAATATTGTGAAATACCAAACTAAGTACATATAACGCACCTTGTAACAATGTAGGTAAATATGCAATAGCAAAAAACCCGACAGACAGAAAACTAAGATTAGTTAGGTAAGAATTGATTAAAAGTATAATAACTAATTTCTACTACAAAATGAAGAATTCGATCTAAATACCTACCTCAAAAAGTGATCAGGATACGGTAATGTCCTCATTAAATGAATTTAAAGACATTAAGATCAGGTTTATTAATTAGATGCGAGGCATGCGCCCTTTTGTGACCTTCAGACGTTTATGATTTTAGGTAACAGTTGTAACAGGTCGACTACTGAACTGAGAAATACCATATTATACCATAACAGCCACAACAGCCCACTGCTGGACATGGGCCTCCACTTATCGCAGGGGTATTGCCGCACATACTATTACGTTTGGCAGGCGGATTGAGCCTCTACATGTCGAAAATATAAGTAAAGAAATACCCTACATATTATAAAATTGCGATAAAAATCTTAGCTACCTACAAAATAAAACAGTTTATGGAAACTTAACTTACAATCCAGTCGGTTTAATCCTAGCTTAATGGAGTGTAACAACGCCTTTACGATTCCCTCATGGAGGTGTAAAAGTATCATAAAAGTAGGTATGTGTCTTTCCTTGAAATCGGCATATTATTTAGCAAACGGGAGTAAACTTATCGTAGGTAGAAATTTTGAAATTCGACATATCACGCCTATATCCCTTGCGGGGTATGCAGAGCGAAAACGGCCATATACTTACACCACGTCTATCAAAAGCTTGAAAGTCACTCAGAAGACTCTGTATTACCATAGTGACAGATTGTCAGCCTGTCACGTAAAATTGCAATACCTGCTACATCAACTCCTAAATCCCTTAGTCGCTTCTTACGACACCCACTCACGGGAAAGATATGGGGTGATGCTATTGTGTAACGTAACGTGACACCACACGGCAAATTCGAGCAGACATCAAATCGTCATATTAAATCTTTAAAGATATTTTAGGTATAAGTATATTTATATGAGTATATTTTTATATGATAAACAAAAAGTGTGATATTAGCGCATGTCAATGTCATGTAATACAAGTTTTTATATCATATTTGTACCTCACATACCTACAAAATTCACGATATCCAATTTCTTTTAAAAACTGAGTCATGTTTTGGAAGTTGTATAAAATAAACTTCGCATTTCTCATTAGATCGCTGACTTTGACAATATAACATCATAAAAGTTATTTATAGAAGAAGTTTTAAAAATTCTATTGCCGCCATACATAATGCCCAATAAATAACATCTTTTCAGTCCTTTTAAAGTGTATCTTACGACGCACAAGCGAAGCCCGTAAATTGTGGGATCTTGCAAGAGATTTATAGTAATAGATTTAGCTAAGATTCGGAGCTGGGAGGAGTACCAGCCTGGCTATAAGCCAGGACTTTTTACCAGCTCTAATGGCGGAAGACCACAGGCCATACTAAATTTACTTATGTACTTATCGTCTTACAGGCGACTGGTAGTGACTGGATGGTGGAAACGGGAGATCATGACTAAAGGCGTACTCTGTGTGGCCTGCGTCCGTCAGCGGACTGCAATAGGCTGATGTGATGTGTGCATACTTTACAGCAGTTTTGAAAAGCCCTCTGTGGCACAGAGTAGCATAACTTCCTCTCATTTTCTTTCCTTCCTGAAAATCAACGGAAAAGCCAAGGAAAGTTTCAGAAAAGTTTTCTTGTAAATGTTCCTGTGATAACTTTACTTCAGGATAATAAGTAAGTAGAGACGGGAAAAAGTCTATCTTAGAATATCTTTGTGGAAAAACTTAGATACCTACTAAAAGATTTAGTTTTAGATTGTGAAAATGTAGTGTAGACTGGCTTTAAGCCAAAGGTTTTTACAGCTTTGTCCGACGGGAACGCCGTTTTAACTTTAAAAAGTTAACGTTCAATAAGTCTTCTATTCTAACATATATATTTTGTTAGAATAGGTCAAAAGGTAATTCATGAAAACGATTATTAAAATGCTGCAACACGAAAACTTTCATATTCGCTTGCTTCCAATATAAAACTATTTTACGAAAATGTCCTTACCAAGATCCAGCATAAATTCGTGAGGCACACAGAAACATTTAATAGTGGCCATTGAAAATATAACCTATTCTGCAGACGAACCGGTTTATGGGCGAAAACAGCAAGCGGCAAGAGGCAGCCACGGCGAGCCAGGCGAGCGAGGCAAGCGTATGAAGACAAACGGTCGGCACGTGGTTTACTTGCTACCCACGATGTACAAATTCGTGATATGTACGTACGTACGATCCAAAATTAATCAGCAACTATAGTCGGCAACAACTAATTGCAGCCCAAACCGTAGGACTTTCGAAGGTATTCTTCATGCAGATTAGTTACAGCATTCGATTACGCATTACAAATGCCAGCATTTCAGATCTAGACGATTCTATCTCCGTAGCAGCTACTGCAACAATTATGTGTAGTTCGTATACTCTACAAGATGCTCATGCAACCTACGCAAGGACACGAAGGTCCATCACATCAGTTCGTTTTGGGAGTTACATGCATATCGAGAAGTTTAAGTCCGTTGCACTCTTGCCAAAACAAGTCCTAAGCATGTCCTAAGCTCATTCTCGACCACAACTTCTTTGGATACCCTGACCAAGTAGATAGGCGTAGATTTTATAGGCCCAGGGTCGCCACCGAAGAGTCCAACCCGAAAAAAACAATAACATAGTCGTTACCTAAGATACCACATCCAAAACTCACATTACTTTTTCTATGCCCTGCAGTTCTCAAGTTAGCGAGCGCGGTTGATCTCGCAAGCCCCTTGTTTAGACTATTGCATGTGTAACGACGTATTTATATCTTGCTCTCGCTCGTACGAGAGGAGCATACGAACAAAGTCCTTTTTTATTTGCGCTGAATTTTTCTGAAGTTCTTGAGGATAATGTAGTGTACGAAACTATGTATGTACCAACTTGTATTTAGTGATTGCAATCCTGCAATGTGGGATCCCGCAATCCCACAGGAAAGTTTGATATTGACATATTTTCGACCAATCACGGAAAAGAGGCACATTCGAGTGTGGCGCCATTAGTTCTCCAGTTTCCTACCTCATTATGGCCGTTCTTTGAGATACCACATCCAAAACTTTTAATTTTTTCTATGCCCTGCAGTTCTCAAGTTAGCGAGCGCGGTTGATCTCGCAAGCCCCTTGTTTAGACTATTGCATGTGTAACGACGTATTTACGACTATTTTCGCCCAATCACAGAAAAGAGGCACATTCGAGAGTGGCGCTATTACTTCTCCCTAGTTTTCCAGTTTCCTACCTCATTACATGGTCGTTCCCTGAGATGCCACATCCAAAACTTACATACATTTTTCTATACCCTGCAGTTCTCAAGTTAGCGAGCGCGGTTGATCTCGCAAGCCCCTTGTTTAGACTATTGCATGTGTAACGACGTATATACGACGTATTTTTGCCCAATCACAGAAAAGAGGCACTTTCGGGAGTGGCGCCGTTAGTTCTCCTGTTTCCCATCAGTACATAGTTGTTCTCTGAGATACCACATCCAAAACTCACATTACTTTTTCTATACCCTGCAGTTCTCAAGTTAGCGAGCGCGGTTGATCTCGCAAGCCCCTTGTTTAGACTATTGCATGTGTAACGACGTATTTATATCTTGCTTTCGCTCGTACGAGAGGAGCATACGAACAAAGTCCTTTTTTATTTGTGTGTGTAATGTGTGTCTGTCTGAAGTTCTTGAGGATAATGTAGTGTACGAAAGTATGTAGGAAGATATACTACTCATAAGTTTCGTTACAGCGCAGCATTTTAAGTCTACGTATGTATATTATTATGTATGTTGTTTTCCAATCAGTTCTTGAGCCTGTACAATAGCTCAAGGCTTGAGGCGATACCTATATTGAATCATATAAAAAAACTGTAAATCTGCCTAATATCATTGGTGACTCTACCCAGATTCTTATCATACTAATATGTCGACCAAGCTTTTTTCTTGGGAAGCAACCTTTTCATAAGTTACTTTCATTCATTACATAGTCAATCTATTGGGATTGTAATGCACTCACAGTGCTATATTATTCTCACAAGTGAAAATAAGAAATAGATAAAATGACATGCATCGACCGGGGATCGAACCCGGGCCGCATGGGTAAACGCCCCACCGCTCTGCCACTGAGCTATAGATGCACGGCCGATCAACGCCAAATTATCTATCTCTTGATGCTCGTCTCCATGGATCGTCGCTTGGAGACGAGCATCAAGAGATAGATAATTTGGCGTTCATCGGCCGTGCATCGATAGCTCAGTGGCAGAGCGGTGGGGCGTTTACCCATGCGGCCCGAGTTCGATCCCCGGTCGATGCATGTCATTTTATCTATTTCTTATTTTCACTTGTGAGAATAATATAGCACTGTGAGTGCATTACAATCCCAATAGATTGATTAAGCATGCTTCATCATATGGTTTGAATTCCACTCATAATGTGGACTAACCATGTAGTAAGTTCTAAATACTTTCTACAGATGTCGCTGGATCGTCGCTTGGAGACGAGCATCAAGACATTACATAGTCATTTTCAGCTAATTAACAGAAACTTAACTTTCAAAGCTTCTAGTCTCGAACAATCCCAAGGTACATAAAACAATTGACTATCGGAAAGCTTCTAGATTTCTCGAGATCTTTTCTAATTAGAGTCAGATGAATCAGCCGTTTCGAGCGAAAGTAATTAGCGACTTTAGCGAATTCCAGCTTTTTAGCTCAGGGAAAAACTGATGGGATGACAATCGATTCACCAGCCAATTCTGCTGAGCGTCCAATGGAAACTTTTCTTTAGAGTTGAGGTCAGCTTGGCACTGCTGATAACATTGAAGAAAATTTACTGAAAAAAGTGGCTTCTCAAGTTAAGCTAATGATGAGGAAGATTGTCTCTTCTCTTTTCGTGTGAGACAGACACTGAGTCATCTAACGACCCGATGAACCCTATTACCTATGAAGATAACTTATAAAAACCTACTTTTTAGGCGCACGCTCTGTGACATACAATTTTTCACAAATGAAACTTTTAGCAGTAAATTTTCCATTTCGTATTATCCATTATCAAGATGTTTGGTACCAAGGTAGTTTCGAAGTATATTTTCATAAAACGAGTAACTTTCTTTATTACGGTCATCAGTAGTGTTAAGTATGGTCACCAGTAAAACACACTATAAGCATAACTTGAGTTTTTTACGAATTTAAGTTCGGCGCAGACCTAAATAGTGTCGCATTTTCAAAAGACGAGTCCATGCATAAATCAACTAGCTACCACTTTGTAATCCATCTATCCGATTTCAACTGTAAAAACGTAAATAAAATCGTAACTCATTTGCATCTCCCATTTCTTTTTCGCGTCGAAAATTGTATCGCTGAAGTAGAAAGCTTCTAAAGTATTCGTGTCAAAGGTATCCGATTACATTTCTGTCCCGGCGATCGTTGGAAATTCTTCCTTTTAGAAGCACTAAAGTAGAGAACTTTGCAACTTGAAATGCTTTTCAGTAGCAAGGTGATTCGTGTACATTTACCGATAATAGATTTGAGTTTCGATGCGGATGCCGTTTTCCTTTGAGATTTGCGATATAGGTACACAGAATTGGTTTGTATTTTTACTGTCATCAAAACCCTAGAAATTCTATCGTTGGAGTTGAAACTCATCTGAGTTTAGTCTCAACAATATTATTAATATTCGAATACGTACGTGTGTTGCGTTATTAAAACTGGGTCCATTCTTTTCCAATTTCATAGATATTGTAGTTGCTAAAAGATTTTTATTTACCATTGTTTGCTTAAATTCAAATTTAAAGCCAAACATCCTATGTGTTGCAATGACGAAGAAAAGAAAACAGACGATTTAGTCGGACTAGGTAAAAATCTTTGGGCAACTACTTACAGGGGAGGCCCGTGTCTATGGCCGGTATGATGATATTAAAAGAGTAGAAGTAGAGGCTATTTAAAATAAACAGTACAATAATCGATGTCATCCCATCACGTCATCCCTTGTTATGGTCTTTTGTTGGATAATCTCGTTCCGGACCTTATCCATTAGCGAGATCCCTAGCATAATAATCTATCTCTTTTCTCTTTAATTAGTTGAGACTGCTATAAATACAAACTCGCACTTGTTTAATCTAATACGCTCCGTGCACCCCTTTTATTAGCAAAGTTTAGCGCACTGTAAATTATTTACTTGTTCAGCTAATTGGCCACGCTTAGTTTAAGTTATTTTTATGTGTGTCCGACACTGAACTTGTTCAGGCAGAAAAAGCATCCACTTCTTATCTAATAAGTGGTTTATCAAATGTTATACTTGGATTGCTAGGCCTGGATTTATACCCTGAGGGCGTTTGTGCACTACAAGGAATTTTACTGTCCGGCATTCCGATTTTTTACGGTCCGGTGTGGCATAAAAAACCTATGAATTGGCTTATGCAAATGTCGGACAGTAAAGTTACGTATAGTGCACAAGCTAGTATTTAGATTGATGGTGTGCCACACCGGACCGTAAAAAATCGGAATGCCGCCGGACAGTAAAATTCCTTGTAGTGCACAAACGCCCTATCTCTTGAGCTTCTAGCCAAAAAACAGTGTTTAATTGTTTCCGTTGAAACGTAAGAAAAACCTAAATTCATGGGGCCGATGCTTTGCAGATCGGCATTCATCGTTCATTTGTCTATCGAACAAAATTAAGCATCGCCCGCAGCAGCAAGTAGGTAAGTCAGAGCAGATTAACGGAATCGGCAAGTTACACAACGGCCAACTCGCCAGCGCCATCTCTCGGCCGAAGTGAGTGTTTATCGCCAACAGATTGCATTCCAGCTAACAATTTACACTTAGTTGTGTTGGTCAAGAGAAAACTTATTGTTTTAATTTCATTTATTATAAAATCTGGCCGAATAGACCGATGAATTAATAGTCTATCGGCGGTTGAGCAATTTGAGATTTTCTGTGCCACTCTCCTATAAATGGCTAAGACTGGTGTCGATGGATTCTACTATGGCTCTACAGAACTCGGATATGCCTGTCTAATTTGAAGAAAATGGTGCGTTTGACATCTGTGACGTCACAGATGTCAAACGCAAGGAATCTATCGATACCAGTCTTTGCCATTTATAGGAGGGTGGCACAAAATTCGAGAAGGAGACGACTTTTAATATTTCGCCTATATTCTATAAAGGAACGGTTAATAATCAGGACCACGATGAAATATGAAAAATAGAAATTGGACCTCCCATACAAAATGCATACCAACCGACCGAGTCAGTTTGTGCAGGAGGTCCTGAATTACCTTTCCATATTTCGACCTATGTTCCTTAGGGAAAGTTATGCAGTTTATCCGTCAAAATCTTCATCTTCCTGCCCTTTTCCCAATTACCTGGGGGCGGCGCAACACGTTTCGTTGAACACAAAATCGTATTGCAAAAGCATTTGGCTGAATTTTACGACCGGCCGCCTACCAGCTGTCAACCCTCCTTGAGAATGCTTTTCTGTGGATTAACCGTCACCATACGGTTGGACCTGTCTGTTTGGGTCGGGTTTATCCCTCGGTCGCCTCTTACGACCCCCACGGGAAGAGAGGGGGTGGTGCTATTCTACTCTGCCGGCACCACACAATATTTGCTCATTTTTTTTTTACACGTCCTTTTATTGGAGACCAAAGTAAAGGAAAGGCTTGTCTTTGATTGCGAGTCAAAACTCCCGTCTTTGTTTGAGTTCTGTAAGTTGCATCTACTAGTTAGCGCTGCTTATGAAATAAGTACCTTCGGTTAACTAAAAGTTTAACTGAACGTAGGATTCAGAAGTTCGTGAAAACTGGAGGTGTAAAGAATACCTATTAGCATTTTTGTAGCTCTAGATGGAGAGAGGCTATTTGCTTTGATGTTTAAATGGATTTAAAGACAAGAAAACCTACGAAATATAATGTGGATCAACAATGTCCTACTGTACGGTGGTGCCTTCCTTAATATATGATTTGGTTATCGAATTGATCCAGAAATCAAACAAGTAATAGCAAGCATGCGACCCGCGTGGACCCGCGACATAGATTTTGTCTACGTCCTTATCTCAAAAGTCTGCAAATTGAGCTAGAAACCTGAATTACAGCATGAAGTTCCTTCTTGACCACTGATTAAAACTGTGTGGCGGTCCCTTACCTACTTGCTAGTCGATTTATAAAGAACTAAAATGGGATAGGTACATTCATCATAGCTATTGTGATACATACATCATCTTCCATTTATAAAACCTGTTCATTTAATGCTTTCGCTAAAGTAAAGGTGGATGTTAATTGTTTCTTTCATCGGATAATTTAAAAACAAAGACCGACAACACGAAACTAATCAGACTAAGTCCGAATGAATAGGTCCTTTATCCCGGCTTGTCTTCGGACTGAGTCGGAATACAGCAGCAAATAATCGAATTTTAACTGATTCAATACCTATTTGTGGTTAAAATATAGAGCAGCGTTTTATTTTGCAAGAAGATGAATATGAATATTTATCGCGATATTTTTTTCGCGCGATTTATTTTATCACCGTTTTATATTTTTTTGTCAGTGTAGGAACTTGCATAAGATTCAATGTGAAAAAGGCGATAAAAAATAGCAAGAATTAAATTACTGTTCGGTAGATATCTACGACAACACGGATCGCATAAAATATAAAATTGCATTGCCTACATTTAACAACAAGGTTTGTAGGTAAGTTGTATTAATTTTGACCCTAAGAATACTCTGATGATACGATTTTTAAAACACTTCTAGTATCTTCATTTTTTTAAAGCTTTGGGCCAATATTCAACCTGTAGGTAAGTAAAGAATTTGTCAATGGGAATGAGTTGCAAAACTATCCCAGTAGCTTAAGCCCTGTGCCACGCGGCGCGGGGTCAAAATACACTTCCTTAACTTCTTAGGTAAAGATTGAACCGCGGTAGCCCAGATTGAAGAGGCTACGCCAGTACTAATGGCGAAATTTGCAGGTTCAAATCTTGCTTGCTGTAGTGAATTTTTTTTCAAGTTTTGCTAAAAAAGAAGGTTGCAGAGATAAGTAAACTATCCTAAACGATGCCAGGCATGCGGAACATGACAAGCACTTTTTCCAATAAACCTCTGTATGTTAGTAAAACAACAAAAAGCCCTCGACCCGGCCAATGACGAGACAAAAACTGATAGCTTTCCGATAGTTCCGCCGAAATTCGCATTCACAGCTCACCCAATTGTTTTATCTAGTTTTCAATGGAAAAGTACTTAAAAAGGCTACAGTCAAAAATGCAATGGGTTAAAACAAAAACTGCGATACCAGTTTCCATGAAAATAGCTGCAAAGGTAATGTTAAAATCACCTCAACCTACACATTAATAGGATCAACATAAAATAAGTACTTAGGTTCTAGTTAATCAAATAAAATTTATGTCAGTATAAAGAAAATAGGTATAAATTCAGTACCTACAAATAGAAAAAGTACGAATTAGCAGTAATTCCGAATGAATAAAATTAAAAGCATAATATATAGGTACTTAAACATAACTCGCTTGAAATATTAAGTTGTAGAGTTTTGTGTCCTTTTTACAAACATACATAGGTAGGTACATATATCACACCTCCATCACTTGCGGGGTAGACAGAGCGTAAACAGCCGTCCTTCTTCCATAATAAAAATAAGCGCTTGAAATATGAAACTTGTCATTTTATTATGATCTCACTGTACTGTACCTACACAATAAAAACTCCGACTGAGTTTCGGTTATATAAAAAGTTATTATGTCTTTCATTTTTATGCTTGTTCATATGAGCATAAAAGAAGTTTGGTCAAAGCTTTTAGAAACTGGTAAACAGAAGTAGTGTTTTGTGGTTTTAACTACAATACTAAAAAGTTATTCTGTCAATATAAGAGGTATTAAACCTAATCATTAACAAAGAGTATGTTGGCAACACTAACTCTTTATATCTTTTTGTAATTTGTGCTTGGCAACATTGATGGCTTCTCAAATACATCTTGGCAAAGATCAGTCGACTTTTCATTTCTAATTCATAATTTTTATTATTTCCTGGACCCTAGGCAGTTCTTAACATGGTCCGTAGAGTCAGTGAATTTATGAACATTTTCAGCCTATAATCCAGGAGGAATTTCGACCAAAATTTCGACTTTGCAAGAAACATATCTGATGGGACGACATTTTGTTGGCAGACAACATTTTATTATTTCTACCAATAATCCCTCAGTTACAACAGGAGAAGCACAAAAAGCAATCCAGGTTTGGAAATTACCCTACAATTAGGGTCTACAAGGTATGCTCCACATTATCATTCATGAAACTCGCTTGTCATCATACCAATCAAGCAAGCAAATTACAAGGGCAGCCATATTTTTCATTTTGCAATTCAAGACGTAGCCGTCGTAGCCAGGCGCGTAGCGCATGCGCGACGTAGCAGCAGTAACTTCCGCCTGCGCCTTGAAGCTTTGCGCAAGGCTTCACAGCTGACGTGACATTGTTATGAAGTTTGTGTCATAGACTTGTTTGTGTTTTATGGTGATTGCGGAACTTTTTTGCGGTTTGACAATTGTCAAGTTAGAGTGTTTTATTTCAGCGAATGAACTTTTTGGAGATATATTTTATTTTTATTCAACCTGAATTCAAACTTTTTGTAAAAAAGGGTCAAACTCTACAATATTTGTGACTTGTCAATTTTGTTTACGTATTTTATAATTTTTTTATTTTGTTTACCGTGTTTAGATTACGACTTTTGCTTTGTGTGTAGCTAAAAGGTGTGTGTTTCGTTGCTTGCCTGCTTGCTTTACATCGCTTTGGACATTTCTGACTGGTACAATGGCTGAAGAAAAGTGTCCAAAAAGACAGCGCGGCGGCTTCAAGGCGGCAATCACTCGGATCGCAAACAAACTCACGCCCGAGTTTTTTGCTTCAGCGTCCATGTCAATGTTGCTATTGTTAGAAGAAAGGGTCATGCATAGCTTCAAAGAATATGAGCGAATAAACTCGGAGATAGATCCTGCTGACGAAGAAGAGCCAAGTGAGACAGAGAGTGTATATTTTAGTTGTGTGAGTTCGATACGCACTCGCGTATCTGAATTGAAAGGGCCTTCTTCGCAGCCTAAAACGGGTGGGTGTGTGTCCAAGCTAAAGCTGCCGAACATCGAAATCAAAGCTTTTGATGGCAAATATACGGATTACCAGTCTTTCATCGAAATGTTCAATGCACTTATACACAACGACTCAGACATTGATGATGTTCAGAAGCTGTTTTACTTAAAGTTCTATCTAAAAGGGGAGGCTTACGATCTAGTAAAGAATCTACCTGTCATAGGCTCTAGTTATAAAGCGGCTTTAGATATATTAAAGGAGCGCTACGACAATAAATTTAAAATCGTTTCGGAACACATTAATAGCTTGTTTGAGTTGCCTGGCATAACAAAATCAAGCTCGTCCACATTGCGGTCCCTCATTTCAACTGTTAAGCAACATGTTACGGCTTTAAAAAATTTAGGGGAACCCACAGATAAATGGGACAGCATTCTCATATGTTTGCTCAGCAAAAAATTAGACATCTATACGAGCAAAGCTTATCACCTCGAGCACGATCAAAAGAAAGCACACACTTTTGAAGCCTTCATAAAGTTTTTAGAGGGTCGGGCGCTCGCTTATGAGAATAGCGAGGGATCACTTCCGGTAAAGGCGCACACAAGGATAGCAAATGTTGCTGTAATCGAAGCAAGCTGTATCAATTGTAAGTTGAACCATAAGTTACATGTTTGTCCCAAGTTCCTGCTTGCACCGGTGGCAGAAAGGCTCGACTTTGTTAGAAAGAACAGGCTCTGCAAGATTTGCCTTGGAGGCCATCAAGGTCGATGCAAGTACTATTTCAAGTGCCAGGAGTGCAAACAGGGTACTCATAATACACTACTGCATAGTCCAGTCAACTCTCAAGCTCAAGCTCAGGTTAAGGAGGAAAAGAAGAATGTCTCACTTTTGTCCAACACTAATATTGGCTATAAATTTCAAACATTGTTGCCAACGGCAAAAGTCAAAATTGTAGGCAAAAATGGCAAAGAATTTGTCGTTAGGGCTTTGCTAGATTCAGCAAGCGATACTTCTTTCATCACCTCCAACCTGGCTAAAAAATTAGGCAAACCGCTTATGCCCAACTCGACAGATGTCATTGGCATAGCCAAAACGGGAAAGGAAGTCAAGTACTCCATACCTACGTTAGATGTCTTTTCCTGCGTTTACCCATACAAAGCTCAGGTCTCTAAGTGCTTAGTAGTAGACGGCATCACCACTAAGCTGCCTCATAACGAATTGGACTTGAGAAAGGTTTTAATACCCAAAAATATTCAGCTGGCCGACGACTCATTTCACATCCCAGGAGAGATCGACCTTTTACTACCTGCTGGAATTTATTACAGAGTGTTGCTGCCGCAGCCTTTAGACTTGCAGTTTGGACAAGAGATCAATACTGGTCGTCCCGCTTTCGTACACACACAGTTCGGCTACGTGGTGGGTGGTGACGCACCAATTTCTTCTTCAAACAATGATGCCGCGGTAGCGCTCTTCTGTCACGACTGTAATACCAGCACAAATGATGATATCGTTAGTCAATTTTCGCCATCACATAATTCTAGTCATCATTTTGATGAAGAATCTAGCAGAGACTTGCCAAAAGACTTACCCGAGTTAAAAGCAACCAAACCAAACTTTAGCGAGGTAGTGTGTGCTGTGTCCCAAAGTAAGGAAGTCTCAATTTTATCTAGTTTGCTTCAGAATTACTCTGACATCAATAAAGCTACTAGAATTCTTTCTTATATTTTGAAATTTATCAAAAATGCAAGGCCTGCAAGTAGGTTAACTTTCTGGCGAAGATGTATTGCTATTAAGCAACAATTTTGGAGGTATTGGTCAAAGGTCTACCTCAATACCTTGCAAAACCATCCTAAATGGAAAGATAGTTTACCTAGCATAAGTGTAGGTACTTGAGTTATCTTAAAGGAGATTGACTCTCCTCCTATGACATGGCCCATGGCTCGTGTAACTCAGGTTTTCCCTGGTCAGGATGGGAAGGTTAGGGCTTTAGAGGTAAAGAAAGCCAATGGAAAGTGTCATAGAACATCAGTTTCGAAAGTTTGTATTTTGCCAATAGATTCTTAATGTCATTAATTATATCATTTTATTTCATAAAGTGAAATGTCTTTACTGCCATAAGTTTGCATAATTAGTATTTTATTACGTTAGTGTGTAAGATACTCTGTTTTTAATATTTAAACTGTATTAATATTGCATTTTGAAATAGCTTAAGCTAACACTTATTGAGTAATCAATACATTATTAACATTAGTATAATACCTATCAAAATACAGTCCACTTGCTATAGCTTGGCTAATGCAATTTGCAATATTATTTAATTACATGTTTTGTTTGTTGTCGGGAGCATGTTGGCAACACTAACTCTTTATATCTTTTTGTAATTTGTGCTTGGCAACATTGATGGCTTCTCAAATACATCTTAGCAAAGATCAGTCGACTTTTCATTTTTTATTCATAATTTTTATTATTTCCTGGACCCTAGGCAGTTCTTAACAGAGTACTTGTTACAAAATATGGCTTATTTTGCTGTTATCATCGTCTAAAGAATTTAGGATCAAAATTATCTGCTATGGACATACCCTGTCAATAAGTTTAGACCTCTAGACCACGATGTCAATTATGTTGTGGGTGCTAGGTAGTCAATAGTATTTAGTAAGTAGGCAAATGCTATATGTCGCCAATCGAGATTTTGTGTCCATCAGAATGGCGGGTGTATAATCTCGAAATAAATCAAGATTAAATGTATTAAATGTACACTAAATGTACGTATTTGTACTTAAATATCCATGTCGTACATTTATCAGATGCTTAGATATAACGATTTCAAAATGACCAGCCATTCTGACGTCAGGATGGCGGGTGTATTTTAAACGGATGCACTAAACCTGACAATTCCTGTATCA